TAGGAAAAACTGCATAGTTCAACAGGGCTACAATTTTCTGCGCAACATAACGTTGCAAGAGAACTTACTAAGAAAATTACACCGTACGTCATGAGTAAATGGTGCATCTAAATTTTTTTACTACCAATGAATTTTTAACAAGGCGACAACACCAAGGTCTCTTCTAGAATTCAAGTCTTCGGAGCGACAAAAGTATTAGCGTTATTGAGAAAAAACACTTATTCTGCAAACTTGACAAATCCAATGGTGAAAAATTCTGAAGGGATGTGTCGCAAAATTATAATTGTGGCAACAGACTCTAAAAATAACAAGTCATACCTATCAAATAAATAGAATTAAAGAATAGTAAGTTACAACCAATACAGTAAAAACCCGCGTATAAGAACACCTATTTTGAMGGTTMAGGGTGATTTGGTTCTTATATAAAGGGTTATAATCTGCAAAATCAGCCTGTAAGTGTCATGTAAAAWAGTCGCTAAAAATATGGAACATACTAGGCTACCACAATAGWTGAAATCAATACATGTATAACAGTACATATTTTTAGCTTTGTTTAATATTTGTTACATATTTGGGTTGGAACTATTATGTGTGCAATGAAAAGTAGTGTTGATCTTTCATATTTTTCCATATAAGAACAACTTTAATTTTTCAGGCTGAATGTGTTCTTATATAAATGGTACTTTATTTCCTAAAATCAGTCCTGRTGTTCTTAATCTACTTGTTCTTATACGCGGGTTTTTACTGTATTCGCTGCATTCTGAAAACGCTTCTTCTAAATATTTCTATTGAGATTTTATCACTGATCTAATAATCAGCCTCAATTGGTCTGGGATGAAGTGCTTTGTATGTTTGGTGCTTGGCACATTTCCACATGGCAGACAGCAGCTTTGTAAATCCAGTATCTTTAGGCTACGACAAACATAATCACTGACTGTTAATCACACATAACTTATCCTCAACGGCCGGTTCGAACAAAGCCAGATGAGCGTACAACCCCATGATTAGTGAGTTCTGGTTTTAGTGGAGGGTCGAGGTGCCATAAGAYCCCAATAATTTTAAGATTATAAAAATACTAAACATGTCAATAATACTTGTCGAATAATTACAAATAAAGATGCTGCACTTCCAGTTTGGAAACAATAATAAATAATGGGTACTCAACCTGACCGCTTTAGGACAAACGTCTTGTTACGTTTCGAGATATCGGGGTTTTTTATACTTCAATATTTACTGGTTGTCAGACGTATGATCACCATATGCCTTGATGTCTTATTGTTCGCATGTAGATTTCACAAATTATTGGAAAATGAACCAAAAAATATATGAAAAAATAAATCAACATTTAAAATTCAAAAATGTGAAAATTGACATGTAAAATAAATACTCTTTGTTTACATTGTAAACAAATAAATAAGTAACTAAATAAATAAATATCGGCTAATAGTATGCAGAAAAAACTATTTATCGCCAAATTCCTCCCTTTTCTCGTGAACCTGATGATCTTCGAAATCTTTTGGATAAAGTATCTGAGCAACAAACGTTTTTTACAGGCCTAGTAAACCTTAACAAATYCTTCACATATTTCAAAAACGTTGTCGGGGAGAGCAGCGAACGGCGATTGTCGAAGTGAGATTGCACTACCGAAAGGGACTATGGTTATACTGGTTCCACCTTGCATAGAAATGGAGACTAAGACCCTGCTTACACGAGATAGGGTGCTCCTAGTGGTAGGGCAAAAATCCTTTGTTTTAAATCCACCAGGGAAAAGAAAACAAAAGAGTTAGCCCTACCACTAAGGGGCACCCTGTCTCATGTAAACAGGGTCTAAATGGAGCCAATGTTWACGTACTGGTTAATAAACGAGCAGGAGTGTTTTATCGGGTATAAAGATTCAAGCCGAAGACACGACTTGCGAATCTATTGAGCGGCTTCAAAAACTCCAACGCTAACTTGAAACTCAAATCGGTTAGGATTCTTGGAGAATGGTCATAAATTTAAGTTTTGAGATAAATGGGGCAAACTGATCATGCGCGAAAGACTTAACAAAGCACTCTTGTCTTTCTACACTGAATACGCAGAAAGTAAAATAGAAGCCCTGGTGGCTATTCTTTATATAAAGAATACAAAAAGGAACTGTTTTATCAGATATACAGGTCCATACATGTGACCAAATAGGCTCATTCTATTGGCCTAATAACTCATTAATTATGTATGAGTTTTTCGAACACAGACTAGGAAAATTAGGAAAACCCATGGCTACTTTCGATCGTGCAAACGCCGTTCGACAATTGGCATTCGTTATTTTATCCGACAACCTTATCTGAAATAGGTATATATAAAGAGCCTGCATAAAGTATATCGAAATGATTCATTCAGATGTTTGTTTGATGTTTTTTGTGTGTTTATTCACTTTTTTCGATTTTACCTTTTTAATTATATAATTATTTTCTTTTTTTTCTTTTTAGTGAATTTTAATAATTTTGTTACTATTATTCAATTTTCTAATAAAGCATATTTTCATTTCTGACCTTTTTCCAGTAACTTGTGAATTTTTACTKTAGGAACAATAGGCCACCATAGCCCAGTCACATGATAAAATGCTTAGTCGTTTTGATGAACGAATGAAATAGATGTTTAGCTGTTTTGCTCTAGAAGTGAAATAATTATATACGATTCCAATAGAATAAAGGCATTTTTCATATACATACATTTTCGAGACCTCTAACCAGCTGATTTTTCATTACAGATATAAATTCCTTGTGGCTGAGTTCTCCGTCGTCTGAAGTGCAAAATAAAAATGATTCAGTATGCTAACTCGAGAAATCTTGTCTGCTGCTTATTTTTACAATGCCAGTTCGGTTTCATGGATACAGGATATGTCAAAAACGTAACGTTTTATAGACCAAAAACACGTACTAACTACAGAAAATTTAAGTTTCCTTTGTGATCTCTTAAATATGGGAAACCATATGTATTGACATGCGAGAAAAAACTTATTAAATACATATACACCTAGAAACGTTTATACAAAAGAGTAAGCTAAGTTTATATGAATTTCGTACTCTAATTCATTGACTTCGGTACATTTTGTTCACTTGGGCGAACTTATCATAACTTAATCCGTTAATTTGTATGTCGTTTCAATTGATTTAACTGCAGTGAAGTAGTCYACATACAAGCAATRRGATTGATATTCGTTTTCTGCCCTATATYAGATTTGACACTTACCATTTTCATCAAACATTTTGTAGACAATATCAACAATATGGTCATCTAGAGTCACTCCAGCAATAGTTCTTGCAACACGCTTAAATGTGTCTACAGACAAAATAAAAGTACTATTATAGTCCAGAAAACGATACAATGATGAGATTGGAAACCCATAATTTTCTCATCGCCAGTCAACCTTCTTTATCATATTCCTCAATATACTGTGACTTTCTTTCTTTTTTTATGTTACATGTAATTATATTTTATCTACACGATTTGAACCCGACGATTTTCACACGAACGTCACCCGATTCTGGAAACTGATWAAAACATGCTATGTCCCTATGATGACAAACACTAACCGACGGACTACTGAAGATCATTAGACTTACGAGAGGTTTACGATGAGCGAAAACGTTTGGTGAATATTTTGAGACACTTATTTACTGCTTACAAGTGAGCCTTTTATCAGTTCAAAGGGTGTATAATTATGAGTGAACCTCCTATCGAGACTCAGAATGAACATTTTGAAATCAATTTATCAAAACTATCTTTATAATAGACCTCTGCAGCTTTTAGGATATGTTTGGGACAGAACATGGCGGATTTCTTTTGTTTTCTCTTGAAACTGATCCCACAATGCATTGAAAATCCGAGTAGTGACGTAAAAGGTTCAGAAGTCTATTACTTAAAAAGTGTGCAAGTGTTACAAATGTGCTTGAGAGACCAACGCATCATTACCAGGATCAATTGCTTTGTTTGCTGCATTATGGAAACTAAGAGCAACATCTGCTTCACCAATGTTTCTCAGGAAATGGAAGAAATTCAGGTATTGCTTGAATGTGACTCCCTGCAATACAAGTACATGATGCAATATATGGTTAATTGTCTTGATCTGTCGAGAACGCATTAAAATGTACAAAAAGGAGGCCTCAATACTGACTTTCACTCAAACCAGGGACGTCCCTGCTCAAACCTTCGCAATTTCAAACACTTACTGTAAATGATCTAATACAGCCCCCTCAATGCTTACAAGTTTGTATTTAACGCCCCTTTCTAACAGACGTCCCCTGTCTATTAAACGCCTCCTCCGCCGTGCCCACGTCCAACGCTAGAAAMAAACAGCTTAGGAATGACGGTAACATAACTCAATTTAATTTGTCTTCTTATTTTATTAACACTGGTAAGTGAGTAACGTCTAGTTCAATTTCTAGTTCAAAATGAGGATAGCGTTCTTTAATTGATTTCATTGCTTACTTGCATAACTTGTGGTACATTACATTGTCACAGTTTTATTTTAGAATAAACGCCTCCTGTCTATTAAACAACCCCCCCCCCCATTGACCATTAAAATTTAATAAACTAGTGAAAATAACAAAACAACTTTACGTAATGGAGAAATATAGATAATTATATGGCGTTAAGATAGCCACGCCTTTTTTCATATGGTCTATAATGTATCCAAGACATGTTTTAAAACTAAAATGCATACCCACAAACAAGTGAAGTTGTCCACATTTTGCTTGTACATTACTTACCTGAGYATTGTCTTTGAAAGCTTTTTTGACYCTTTTAAGAATCACTTCCTTCTTTTTCTCATGGAAGCTGGAGTAAGTCAACAACATGTCAGCAAATTGCCTTTCGGTAATCCTGCCATTCTCTGGTTCATACGATTGAAACTAAAAACAGTAAATTAAWATATGACTATAAGAATGTATTCTAACACTAAAAAAGAGACTTGTATACCTAAATTATTACCACAAATATTTACAACACGGTGGTCCTCAGTAATAGTAAAAGACTAGTTAGTATTAATAAAAAAGGAGAATTGTGCAATACTAACTGCGCAATGCAGCAWTKCAGCATGGCTATTCTAGATTGAAATGTTAATCGTATTATTATCCCTCACCTCTAAATACATCACTTCTTTTTGAAGGTTTCTCTGGAACTTGATAAAATCTTCTCCTGTTAATTTCTTTTTTCCATTTTCACCAAAGAAATAGACTTGCAGGCCTGAGTTAACAGTATATGAGASCACACTACCRGTATTGGAATGGTCCCTGTGTCTGCCTCCTGTGGCTGTTATTGAGAACAGGATGTTTTGTACCTACAACAACAATTTTGTACATTGATTTACGCATTCGATATTTGACTAAGCAATACTAGAACAATGACATTATTATAAATAGAAATATCTTCTAAACACTTGTTGTGGACAAGTGAAGAATAATTTTGGTGTATATGTGTTTATTTCAATGTGGATCGTTTTTGGTTGATTTAACAAAAACTAACCATGGCAACCCCGTAACGATCCCAAATCAAACCTGCCACAATGACAGCAGTCAGTCATATCCTCTTGCACAAAKGGCGAAGGTAATAACRGTAATAACTGTGTTGTGGGTGCTGGATGGTGTATTATMTTCTTATAAACCAAGTCATGTGTATATCATGTAATYGAACTGGGTTTGCAAARKCTAATTAGTCAGGTTAGCCATGGTTTAGGCCGTATTTAGTTTTACCTTTTTGACAATCTGTTTTATTAGTATCTATCTATCTATGTATTTTGTTGTGTTTGTGAAGATGGCAGTGGAAACTATAAAAAAGAACATTTCATTACTTTATCAAACTCATCAGGAGACACCTCTCCATCTCCATTCAAGTCAAACATCTTGAAGGCAATCTCATACATCCTTGGTGGCACTATCAACATTTCAGAGAAAGAAATATTTTACAAAATGTGACAATAACATTGTATAAAATCACAATAACTTCCATGAAGGGTTTTTTTCAACAGAGAATTCTTTTGGTGCTGGTGGAAATATTRCCTACTGTAAGTGACTTTTCCAGGCATTTTTGACATTTTCCAAAACTGCATAAAATTGTCGTCAATCAAACGTTTTCAGCCTAAATATTATTGTTTGCTATTTATTTGTATTGTTTTTTTATCTGGTAAAACAACAAAATCCACCCATAGTTACATAGCATTTTTGGTTGGCTACTGTTAAGTCCACAGGTGTGGGTGGAAAGGGAATTAATATTGCTCATTGACATCGCACTATAAGAAATAAACCAAACAACAAAAGATAAATAGCACAGAACAAAAATCACTTTTAAAAATCCAATATTAGATATGAATCATTTGCTCAATAATTCAAAGCATCACTGTATTTGGAATATGCAAATTTGTAGACTTAACAGCTGTCAAGCAAAAGTTAAGAAAAAAATATCCTAAAAAGTCACATAGGATAGCAAAAAACTTGCAATTATTGCAACTTTTTCCAAATATTTTTTTGTGATCAACAAATCCTTCTTCTTCAACAAAATTCTTCTTTCTTATTTATATTCAGCTTTTTTACTGAGCTAWTCAGACAGCATGAAATTATTAGAGTAAGACTAACAATCTTCATAGATATTTCAAACTGAATGCCCACCATTTTATAAAAGGAAAATTTGAACAGGAGGATCACACAAAGAGCTTTCAATATAGATTATTACACAATTGAAATAGTTCAAACAAATCAGTGAAATAGTCTTCAAAAGGGACCTAAATTTTCCAAGTCATAATGTATACATTCAAGTGCTATTTAACAACAAGAACCATTTTGTGGAACACATAGTGTCTAGGTTACGTAAGGTGTATCGAATTTTGCCAGGAATATATTNAAAATCCCGTACGTCGCACTTTCCATGAAATAAACTCTATCTATTTATTTATTTTTTCTGTCCAGTATCCTAGTCATTCGCGCGCTGTGATTGGCTAGCATGCGGTCCGGTTTTTCACGATCTGCCCGGTCCGACAGTATCCTGCAGCTAGGCTGCAAGCAAAGTTGCATAAAATACAAATAAAAAAATAAAAATGTTATTTACCGACTATAGGTCAGTCCGTATAGAAAAACACTGCCTTCAGTCTTTTATGAACGGACCTCGCCGCGCTCGTTCCGTACTGTCAAGACCTCGGGCAGTGTTTTCCTATACGGACCTCCCAGCCGGTAAATAACATATATATCAGTACCATGACTGATTTAATACTTCTGCTTATAATCTTTTCCCATCATTTATTCTGAGTATTTTTATTATTGCAGCGRCAATTTAGCATTCAGATTGTACTCTGATAATTTAAAACGTGGAAGGTCATTTTAGAAATGTATAGAAAAGTATATTTTACAGTTGAAAAAAGAARGAAAGAAAAAAGAATAATAAATAGAAGTGCTTGAGTAGAGAATCGAACCCGGGATCCTCAGTTAGAAGTCGCCATTCGAGTTTGATCTTGTGTGTAAAAAAAAACAAAAAACAAGAGCCATAGCTGCGAAATTTTGAAATCCAAAAAAACACATTCTTTGGAATCCGGAATCTCAAGGTTTGGAATCTGGAATCCAATGTTTCGGAATTCAAAATCATGCGCTTGGAATCTGGAAATCTTTTAAGCTCTCTGGATTTTCTGACATGGGGCGAAATTATACATTACTTAAATTCAGTAACTTATATCCATAAAAATTGTACACTTTTTGTTGTTTCTTTGATAATCTTGCTGGTCAGTATATAAATTTATGTCAGTCGGCCTTGTGGCCTGATAACGATATCTACGGCTTCACTGTGATCAGCTGGTTTGTTTATAAGCCATGAATGTAAATAATACAACAAAATCAAAGGGTGTAGTAGCTTATGTACTTAGTTCAGTTCAATAAAAAATTAAGATGTAATAATAATTACTTAATACATGTATATTGACTTAATTCTTTCTTGAACTATTTCAAACAAGACTCTATYGTGAAAATGAAATACTTTATATCTTAATGGTGGCAGCTGACCATTGTTGTAGCTACAGGAAGCCCAAGTAAACAATCTATGATTGTCTACAGTAGCCCTTCTATTCTAAAATAATCAACAGTCACAGTACTACAGATGGAGTAAAGTATTTTCTTATATACACCCTTTTAATAAGTCCCGAGGTATTGTGTTCTCTGCACTTGAYGTCAAATTTATTCTTTTGAATTCCTTTTGTATTGTAAAAATTTCAAAAGAATAAATTTGATGTCAAATGCGGAGAACTCAATAGTCTCGGGACTTATTAAAAGGGTGTATACAGTGAAATAAAACATTATTATATTTTAAATATAAATTATAATACTTACAAGACAGCACTGTTAATAGGAATATGTAATCAGAGAATGATATCAATCCATATTCTCCCATTCTAGAAAACACATTGTTGTCTTCATCAATTTCTTCAATGTTATATCCTTTGTATTTATGCTTCTAAATCAAAACAACAAAGTTATAAAGTTAGAAAATCAATATTTTAGCTACAACTTGAGTTTTCATACTCTAAAATGATAGAAGGCATCTGTCTCTTGTAAGTACACTGTACATTTTGATTGGCTTCAATGTAGTAGTAGAGGCCACAATTGAGCAGGGGTGTGGCCTGAAAGAGTTGTTTGCTGTTCTGTGATCCAAGTATGTTTGGCTTAGGACCGAAAAACTATAATGCTAGAGAACCCTTGCTTGAAGCCAGGGTGGGCAAGGCATAATCATTCCACTTTGAAGCAGTAACAACACACCCAACAATATTGCAGATTCTGATATAAAATAATTTAAAGTGTTTTTCCTTTATAAATACAGATAGTGAGTAAGTAGCTTTATCACTACTCATTAAATACAAGTTCTTTTACCTCTGGATCAAATTTCTCAAATTCATCAAGCCCCAATCCTGTAAAGCAAAAATCAGAAAATTCAAACTTGTTTCTTACATGTGTACAAATAATTTCAAAAATATCTTAATGCTAAAGATAGTGTATTCTAATACTGATGCACTTTGTTGGGCATCCTATTGCCATTCTTAAACAGTTTCTTGGTTTATACCAGCTCCATACAGTCTACTAGAACTTCAATGGAAAGCAATAAAGTTTAGAGTAGTCATTTTTGCACTGCAGCTAAAGTAGAGTTTAATGATTTACGGTAATTACATTTAATTAYATTTCTTTAATATTTGACACAAAAACAAAAATGTAAAAATAGTCAAGAGATGAATATAGTAAAATATAAGTGCTCATTTTCCTATCACAAAAAAAGGCTCCATAGAAATAGGAATAGAAATTGACAGATAGAAATGTCCCAACACGTTTATCACACTACCACTGTTATTACTGTACTATCTAATCTGTCTATCAGAATGTTGTATCTATTTTACAAATCAAGCTGCCTATAGGAACAAAACTGAAGGATTGTTGACTTTAGTGTAGTAGTGTACTACCRTAGTAGGACARAAATCTGAATGCAACTTTGCCAGAGGTGGGCTACTCAGTTTAGTTAAAATGCTAATATCAATAAACTTCCTGTAAACTTTTATAGACCAAAATAAAATCTTCATAAATTCATTAACTATAAARTTTTAATATTTCTCAAATATAAAGTTGGTTTCTTGCTTGCTAAGCTTTTCAAATAACTTGAGAGTCTTGGAGTTTGCAAACACAGTGTAATCTAGTACCAATTTGAAAAAGTTTTAAGATCACAGAAAAGTGAGTGAGTGACATATTAGCATAATTTGTCCACCCACAATATGTCTATGATTGCTAATGCAATCCTAGAGTTAATAAAACTAATTAAAAAAARGAAATAGGAATCTAGGAATTGAAAGCTCCACAAATTAAAGTACCAAAAAATTAATTTTGGTTTATAGTATTTAATTCATTCATGATCCTGAACTTTCACTCATTCATTATAATTATAACACAGTTCAATTTTGTACCTTCAGGTTGTATCTTTCCTGGTGTGAGAGACCTCACAAAGTCTTCTGGTGTCATGAATACTTCATTCTCATCTCCATGATGAACTATCTTCAGTGTAGCAAAATACCTGAACACTTTATCAGGTGTGCTGTATTGACGGATTCTATTCTCGTATTCAATTATCTACAACGCAATGTTAAATACAGTTATACGTAGTTATCTTGCAAAATAATAATTGTAACAAAACTAGCCCTCTCATTGAAGAAGTGATGAGTGTAGTGAATCATATTTTGTCAATACTCCATTATACAGTGCCATCTTGAAAGATAACCAAACCTTTGCATCAAAGCGAGACAGTGAGCCTGTAGTTTTAGATGCAAAGGCTTGGCTACCTTCCAAAATGTTGCTTGGAACTGTAAAATAGAGTATTGCTACTATAGTAGCAGTTTTGTTTTATTTATCAAAATATCTGAGCTGAAATAAATGATATGTATAGTTTAACACTAATTTGCCAACAATAATTTGAAACTCAATTCCATTAAAATTCTTGGAGAAATTGCTGAAAAATAAGTTTTGAGATAATTGGKGCAAACTGATCATCGTGTGCGAATCACTAATAAGATACAAAGCACTCTTGTCATCCCACATTGAATACGCATAGAGTAAAATAGAAGTGCTGATGGCTTTTTTACTGCAATCRGTTGACATYCTGCATTGGTCAATGACCAGGTTTCAAACCTGAGACCTTTGCTAGGGTCATGGACCTTTATATCTGATAAAGGTCACCCTTATTAGTATTCTTTATGTAAAGAATACTAAAAAGGAGTGTTTTATCAGATATAAAGGTCCRTGCATGTGACCAAATAGGCTCATTCTATTGGACTAATAGCTCATTAATTATGTATGAGCTTTGTAAGTGGTATTTCCATGACAAGTTSTCATCAATTATTATTCCTGGATATTTTATATGATTTAAAATCTTTTCAAGCAMGTGAAGGTAAATGCATCTACGTTTTGGGGAATTTTATTATTAACATCATTTGTTATTAATTCTTTTATTTGCTGATTCAATAATCATATTAAAATTAGTTTGATCAATGTTTATTGAAGACAGCTTATTTGATTTACACCAATCTGCTACCTTTATAAGTTCACTGTTGATTTTCTAGGTCTGATTACTTTTTTGATGATGCAAAGTTATTTATTTTGCTATGTGTAATCATCTGCATGGG